GCTGCATGGTGTTCATAGGAAATAGGTGTCTCAGAATTTGTGTCTTGGTTCTTCTCCCCTGCTTTCCAAACTTCAGTTGAAACTTTGAAATGAGAAGGATCAACTTTGATCCCTACAGTGCTGTCTTCGTCAGAGTTGAACGGTTTTCCCATAAGTGAGTTCTTTAAGATAGTCTTTCCTGAGCGGTCCTGTCCAATCAACATGATTGGCACCCTCTTGTCGAACGTCCTCCCCTCAGCAAGGGCCTTGTTGTAAGCTCCCAAAGCCAACGGTCCTCGTGCAAGAATCTCTGGAGGCACAACCATGGCGGCATCTATCCAAAAAAACCCAAAAGATCGTTCTATTATTAGATAAACAAATTTAAAAAGAAGCAGGTATGAGATCCTTTTAGAGGATTACCTTATCTCACATTTGTGAGCGTAACTTATCAAAAACGTTCTGGTTTAGATACGTTGAACGATCAGAATTTTAACGGGCGTGCTGTGCTCGATTAATAATCACCAATCCAAGTCAACTACACAACAAAATGTTTCAAGTCGAGTATTGTAAATATAATTTGCGTGGACGGTGAGCCTGTTTCCGGACACAGACCTATTTTNTTCCAAACTTCAGTTGAAACTTTGAAATGAGAAGGATCAACTTTGATCCCTACAGTGCTGTCTTCGTCAGGGTTGAACGGTTTTCCCATAAGTGAGTTCTTTAAGCTAGTCTTTCCTGAGCGGTCCTGTCCAATCAACATGATTGGCACCCTCTTGTCGAACGTCCTCCCCTCAGCAAGGGCCGTTCTGTAGGCTTCCAAAGCCAAAGGTCCTCGAGCAAGAATCTCTGGAGGCACTATTGTGGAAGAAAGTCATTATGTAAACGCACCTAATATACACAAACCATTATTGTACTGCTCGATTGGAAACTTGTACAAAAAGGAATTATTAAAGAAACACTAATATTTTAGGAAAGGACTTCTGCAGAGCAAAACGAAAACAGGCAAAAACTCAACATTTGTAAAAGAAAATAAGGTAAACGTGTTGGTTAGTTACTGTTGAGACAAGGAGGTACCAAGACTCTTCATCTAATCTAACTTAGCCAATGAACACCTTCGATCGGTAACTATGACTGGGCCACACGGACAAACTAGCCTTGGAAGATTAAACATCCTTTAGAATACTAACCCAAACACTTTCAAACGACTCTCACAGACAAACTACAAAGTTCTTGAAACAACCAATAGAAGTTAAAGTTTAGAGAACAAGAAACCTAAACAGGATCTTTGTGGGAGATTCAGACCAACGCCAGTAGACGAACCCACACATGACCATCGATAGGGTATTGTTGGGAGCTAAAGCACTCTTGATAAACTAAGATAAACAACTTGAAGTGATTAGACTCCAAGATAACCATACGAGATTCCTTCTTCAGCCCTGTCTTCCACTCGATGGTTTTTTTGAAATATCCCAGTCTGTGATAAACGTTGCTTAGATTGCCGAATGACGTTCCTTTCCCAGCCCAGTCTCCCACTTCTTTAGCAATCATTAGAATACGTTTATGGTACTCGATGGCTCTTCTGAAATCTCACAGCACGAGGTCGCAAATTTACGTGACATTACGGGATACGTAAAGTTCCGTAAAGTTGAACTGACTGCTTTACGGAGAGTTAATAAAGACATGTAAAGCTGCGTAAAGTTGTCAATGCTGTAAATTTCCGTAAAGATAATTTGAAGTGAACGTAAAACTTTACGCCAAGGCATGTAAATTGCCGTAAAGGAACCTAAAAGGTCATGCTATGATTTAAGTGCCTTTCGACAACTTGACTTGCCGCAAGTCGACTTCTCTAAAATCAGCGACGAAGTCGCGTCAAACGAGCGCGACGAAGTCGCGAGAAGTGACTAAAAAAACACTGCGGAAATGGACATTGATATGAAATGGACTCTTCGCGCTTTTAACAAGGGAAAACATGTTTTTGACAAACTAAACGACATATTCGAGTTACTGTTAGTTTAAAACTTAGCTTTCTGGTTAGAATTTTTTCAAAACCAGACCAGTTTTCATACGCCTCGGAAGACTGGGAATAATATCACCCGTACCGCCCTAGAGTGGAATCCTCAGAGGTCCAGAAAGAGAGGCCATCCAAAGCAGTCCTGAGGGCGTAGTGTGCAAGACGAGCTCGCCAAGAAGAACATCACTTAGTAAGAGGCAAAGAGAACTACCAAACATAGAGTCAGGTGGAGATCCATGGTTGACGCCCAATGCTCCACAGCAGAAGCGAAGATGGCCTAGTAATAATATTAAGGGTTATAATTCTTGATTGGTAAGAGGAATCAAGCTCGTTTCGCAGACGTTTTGGTGTGTTCAGCCGAGAGAGTCTCGAGACCTTCAGACAAAGATCTTTTCCCTGAGGGATGAGTTTAACTCCGGAGCCCGCAGTGCAAGGAAACTCCTTTAGGTGTGCTCTTACTGTAACGGACCAGTAGCTTCCTCCCTATCATCATATCAACATTGCATTATCACGAAGACGAAAACATTTTATTGGATTTTTCCCTCGGATTTACTTTTCAAACGAAATCGACTTTAAATGTGCATCGAAAAGACTTACATCAGCATCCTGCCCTACCTTCGACAAGTACTGATCAGCGGTTTTCCACATTAGATACTAGGTTCTTTCAGTTTTCGCGCCATTTTGGCGTCCTTTTTGAAAGGTGTGAAATGTCGAATCTTGCATCGATCTTTTGGTCCTTTTTCACTGTTTAAAAACTCTACTTTGGCGGGCAAAATTCAGTTCACCTCCCCTTCTTCTCTGTACACGATTTCAAGCATTTCTAGTGGCATAAAGTTGGTGAAAACATCGATGCATACGTGGGTACGACTCAACAACAACAGGTAAGCCCGTGTACCCTTCCTGGGTTGTCTTGTACGTACGAGTAAGTTAAGCGTAAGTTTCCAGGGTAAATTTCAGCTGTAAAGTTTGCTTAAGATGTATGGAATTGCCTCTGGTTGTAAATGTTTCTTTAACAAGCAGAAGCTAAACACTGTGGAATAGACTTTTAGCTATGTATAGATATTGTTCTGTACGATTACCTCTGCCATGCATGAATATCATTTCATGTCTGCGAAGTTTTCTTTCGAAATATTTTTTCTCTGCGAGTAATTTTTCTACGATCAGTCCATGATTCTTTAATCCTGTTTCGAAAATGTTCTGTAACTTTTAACTGCGACTGAATATGACAACACACAGACAATTTTTTTTAGCGTTTGTGTCCAGAAACTGAGAAACAAGTTAAATTAACAAGAAACAAAGTTCGCATTAACTTGTACTGTAGTTTTCAAAATGTGATTTCCACGCTTGCACTTAAATGTGTAGAAAAAATTGGACAATTCATTTTATCTGAAAGTCCTTGGTATAGTTCGATAACCAGCTCTATAAGTTTTAATTTGATTAAACCGGACGCACTACATCCCTTGCGTGTGAGACACCTCTATAGGTACGTGTATATGGTAACCTTAAGAGGGTTCCAATTATTGAAACAAATACTGAAGTTCAATATTAAAAATAGCAATTCATTAATTCATCCTTGAAAGGAACGCCCTGAGTACATGCATTTCTACTGCACATTTTATCAGCTTAACTTTTTCTGTCAGTGTTAGAGAAAAACATAACCATTTTGTGTCTTTGAGGCAAAGCCTTGTCAGCAATCCATACACTTTGTTGGTCCTGTGCGTGCATACATTGTACCTGCTGCAGTGGTTTGCGTCAATCAAGTTGATCTTTTGTGTATGTCGGCAAAAAACTTTTCATCGACTGAGACAAGCTACTACATGTATCCATGCAAGGAAAATTCTGATCAGATTTTGAATCAGAATTTCAAGTCAGGATTTTGAGTCAAGATTTCAAGGCAGGACTGTTTTGAGGGTGTGAAAGGGGTAAATATCCAGGATGATAAGTGCAGTGTAACTTCAAGCAAGCCAGAAAGCTAACTAGTAAGTCAGAACCGTGATCGGCTTGAACTCCTAACTTGAGATCCTAGCCAAAATCCTGATAAATTTGAAAGCCAGACTCAAAATTCTAACTCAAGACTTTATTGTAATACTGACTTGAACAATAGGTATCCTCAGTCTGGCAATATTATTTTGAGTAGTCATTAGGTTTGCAATAGTGTTAAATTGATGTCTAAAAATTGATGCATCTCCTGACTATGTTAGAACCCTATGCATCAGACTTGATAGTTAACTTTTATACTAATGTAAACGGGTTTTTTTCTTAATCCTGGCCAAGTTTGTTCATTTTTTAAAGGGTGATAATCTTTTAACAACAAAGTTGTGTTTTTGTCAGAAGCGTATCTAAAGAGGCATCAATTGGTTATATTAATAGTTGCTTTAGTTAACTTGAAAAGTCTGAATTAAGAGTACAGGTACGTTTACATTTTGTACCTTTTTCCCAAGTTAGACGCAATGCGTTGCTGTTCCATTTAAACTCACACAATGATGATTGTACATTCTTAAACTGTACTTAGCGTCTGCAGTGCTGCGAAACTATCTTATTGGTTCTGTTTTATTACATTTTGAATTTGCAATAAATGATTGCTCGCCTGCAACTCGTCGCTTGCTTTTACTTTTTTCACTGGGGAAGATACGAGTTGAACGAGAAATGTTCCAGCATAAAAGCAATGATTAAAGCCAGAGATGATCACGGGCTAAAAAACGCTAAAGTTAAAGGCCGATTTCTTTATATTGACAAGGACGGGTGCGATCATGAGAATATTCCTGCTTTCTGGAAATAATTCAATATTTTGGACACAACTCATTTGTTTTTTCCTATGCAAATCTCTTGCAATTTTTTTGAAACAAATGAAATTAACTACCGAAAGAAATTAAGAAAAAACCTATCCCCTTTAGTTTGCAGAAAACCTTCAATTCTCTCCAGTTTCGGTAATTAAAACCTCTGAAATATGTTGGGACCTAAGTCTAACAAGGTGGTTTTTTATATGTTAGTAAGTTTTGTGTCCGTGTTGTTCTTTCTCTGCAGTTCGTCAGGTCAAAACACGTTATCTCGATTTGTTAGCTTTCTCTTCGGCTCCCGCATGGCTTGCTTTTCTTTGTTTTCTTGTATTTTGTTTGATTACAACGGATCTTAAAGTATGTTCACTTAATGTGCGAGGTTTAGGAGAACAATTAAAAAGGAGGGAAATTTTTAATTGGTTACGAACAAAAAATTACTCAATTTATCTACTTCAGGAAACTCATAGTGCAGAAAGCACCAATCCTGTAGGGTCCTCGGAATGGGGCCTCAAACCTCTGTTTAGCTCATATTCCGCCTCCAGCCGAGGAATTGCTATCCTCTTCAACAATAATTACACTTTCCAACTTCAAAGATCGTTTTTAGATAATACCTACAGATTTATTATATGTGATATCAAAACTAATGAGAAACGTATCACCTTGGCTACAATATATGCGCCAAATGAAGACGACCCAGGTGTTTTTAAAGATTCCACAATCACTTAAGAGATTTTCGGTGCGATGACATCATTATAGGAGGTGACTTTAATTTAGTACTGGATACAGACATAGATAAAAAGGGTGGCCGCGCCAAAACGCACACTAAAGCAGTTAAGGTAATTAAGGACCACACGGCTGAATTAGATTTGGAAGATGAATGGCGGCTTTTAAACCCCGATGGCCGCAGATACACTTGATTAGACTTTTTTTCTTGCAAGTCAGAGCCTTACTTGTAAAACATATCAGCAGGTTTTAAAACAGACCATTCTTTGATAACAATAACATTGGCACTTTATTCGAACCGAAGAGGTCCAGGTTTTTGGAAATTAAACACGTCTCTTTTATCA